CCATATATACAGTACATATGTCACGCATGACATGCCGGTATCTTAGATTTCCCAACCGTACGTACTGTACATGATTGTTTTTTGTTTTAATGTATTACTCTGTATGTATGTGTGGAAAAATGTCTTAGATTTACTTTCTCGTGCTCACGAGATACGTTTCTTTTCTTTTTTTCCCCCCATGTCCCTTTAGTGGCTCCGTAGAAACCTGTTGAAATTGTTGAATCTTTTCCTTTGATTGCAAGAAGATTGCAACCAACCCCTCTCCGCAACCTTTTGCCACAAAACAGCTTCTTTACGCATAGGCATAATTTAATTTAAATGTAATTACAACAACATTTGCACTGGATGCCACAACAAATTCCTCGTAGGTAAAAACCTACCTGGAAATAAAAACATTTCTGATTCTGATCGTTCCTAAAAAGTTGTTTTGTTGTTTTCTTTTCCAGTTCTCGTTCTAGGTGAAGACGCAGGTTTTGACCTGGTGGGAAAGACCATGGGGCAGTGTTTACAGCCTGTCTAGGGGCATATGGTTTGTAGCCTTTTTATTAATTGTACCAGTTTAATTGTTTCTACTGAAAAGCCTGACTTCTTGAAGCCTTGGACCAGAGTTTTGTTCCAAACATCCTAACACATCGTCTCCTCACATGACGCACCTCCAAAGGGACACAGATCTCCTGGTGCGAACAGGTAGGAGTCTGTGGGGATTTTATTCTTCTCTTTCAATGATTGGTGGCTATTTTTGACCTCTCTTCAACTTTTAGATGATTCATTGAGTTTCCACTCACTGCATCTCTAATGGTTTCCCAAGCTGTAAAAATTCAACATCCAGGGGTTCAGATAAAAGCAGATTTGACTTGGATTTCAATTTAGTTTTTTTCTTAAATCCCAGCATGTCTGTGACTTTACAGTATTTACTACTTGGTTCTTTAGAGTCAGTTAAGTCAGTTAAAATTAAACAAATTTTTCAAGTGAGCCTTTTACACCACACGTCTTTTTGTGCTTTATATAACCCAAGTCTCTACAGACCAGTGGCAAATAATTGATAATTTCCACTTTTTTTCTGAATGAAATCTACTGTAAATGGCAATTCTAATGTTTCCTAGCAACAATGCTGTTGAAGCAACAACGCAGAGGCAAGTTCCAGGAGCCCAGTAGCTTATCTACACCCAAATGTTTACACATGTACAGTAGCTGTCTCGAACTAACAGGCTTTTCTTTATTATACATTGTCACCGATTTCACTGTTTTCTGTAGACAAACACACGAGCTGTGCCACGCTGCCGTAGGTTTGACAGAAACAAACCTGAAATATGCCCAGGTTTAAAGGTAAAAAAAAAAGAAAAACAATTAAAGAAAATATTAATGAAAAACTCAAACATTGTCTTGTATAACACTGCAGGTTAACATGTCTTTGAATATAAAAATAAATGAAATACATTTCCAAAGACTAGAAATGTTCAATTTCCTGGACATTAGTTAAAGCATTAATAAACAGTGGAAAAAAGGCACCTAATATTCTTAGCTGAAAGTGTATTTTAATGTCGTCTTGTTTGTTGCTTTTATTGCTACTGTTGTTGTTACAGCAGCAGCCTCTGGTCTCCATCACTACAGACATTTAATCTGAACGCACTTCATGATACGTAAAATAAAGGTGAAATTAAATAAAAAAGAACCATCATTCTCTCTGCTCAAATGCGAAGAGATTAAACCTAAATAGTGGCAGGAATGGAGTCAGTCTGCTGTAACTGCTCCCCATTTGCACATCTGAGTCTGTGGAGGACGTCACCTGCTCTGGGAGGATGCACTTGGAGCTCTTGACATTGCGGGGCTTTTAAACTGCACAGAGCTTGAGAGGCTGGATTACTGCAGCCACTCACTACTGCATTAGTTTCTGGCTTGGTTTAGTAGCTTACCCTGAGTTTAATACTTGTACTTTATGAAGTGTCTATAATCGTTGCACCAACATCTTTCCAGTGATGAGGGGAGTTTTGGCAGATGGATGAATTGTAGCGGTGATGTTACTTTGCAGTGTTGACTCTGACCTGTTTCTCCAGCGCGTCCCTCACCATGTTGGACATCTTGGGCGCCGGTGCGCGCTCGCAGGTACATCCTTCCAACAGGTAAATCCCGGCTGGCCGTGCGCTCTGCTCGTTCTCGAAATAGAAGAGTATATTCTGGTAGAGGGCGAAGAACTTTTCGTGCCATCGGCTGTTCTCGGTCGTCTTCTTGCTCAGATAGCCGCGCTTGGTTCCTTCTTTACGCGC